GGCAGGGAAAAACCAGTAATAGGAAAGTGTTAAGAAATTTGAGGGCAACGGGTGGCAACAAATTACAGTACTATAGTAGGAAGACGTTTTTGGATGCGCTATTGCCTGCCTAAAAAAATTCTAACTTAGGACATTATTATTTCAGCTATTTTCAGACACAGTTTAAATTGTAAATTAGAGTAGTGCACTTGCAAACACTTTTGGTTCTTTACATGTAATCCTTGAAGCGAGAGATTGTAAATTACGTGGCCAATGTATTAGATAGCACAAATTTAGATATAATTAATTTTTCCAAGGGAATTCCCAGTGTAGATTAGGGTAGTTATTTCAGAGTATCAATTTTGAAGTAACTTATGTGTTCATTTACAAGAGTGTGTGTTGTAAAGGTTTCTATCTGTGTTTTGATTATTCTCTGTAAAAGTGATTCTAAATTCTTGGTTTCTGTCATTAACTTACGCCACTAAAAGTTTATGGTAAATTATACGCTCGTTGGTGTGCAATCTGTGTGATTTTATTGTGTCAAGGGTTCAAACCTTTCTCGCACCCTGAAGATCCTGCTCCCTAGATTTTTAAAGCTCGCTTCACGAGCAAAATCTTGATAACCCGCTTACGGTTCATGCCTGCTACCGTGAAGGTGGTAAGTTGTACGAGGTAGGTGGGTATGTTAGAATATATATATTTTAAAAGCAACTGACTCGGAAAGCTCTCTCATTTTCAACATCGCCTCATACAAACCCGATCAATGGGCCACGTGTAGACGAACGAAATAGTTCCTGAAGTAAGAGTAATCTAAAACAGATAAATGAGACTTGAAACATAAACGTACTCTACACATGCAATTCGAATTGCTACACACGCAATTCGCGCGCCTGTAGGCTAAAGACTCTTTTTTTTTTCTTTATGTTGCAGTATTGGCCAATGATGCCCGTACGGGTAGGAATGGTCTCATCGCGGTGGCGTCACAGTTTAATGTGGTGGCGTGATCACACATTGCACTTTCCGCGCATTCACAAAACTGCACAAGGAGGTCATGGAGTGTGCAAGTGCACTCTGTGCTATGGTAACCGTATACATCTAGTAAGTTATCGCCCAGGGGCGTCAAACTTAGCGGTCAAAACGGGATGTTTTTTCCGCGCTATCTACAGCAGCTATAGTCAGCCGAACTAAACGTGTGACGTCATGCATTTTAAAATGCTGGCAATGTAGGCGGTGTTTCTTTTTCGCTAGTGCAGGCTGCGTGTAGGCAGATGCTTTTTTATGCAATTTTTTCTGCATTTTGTTAGTAGGTAGAAAGTCATAGTTTTAAGTAAAGTGAATATTTGTGTGTCACGATATTTATTTGCCATGTCTAAAACTTTGTTGTTGGTATTTTGGAAGAAAACTGGTGGTAGACAAATACATAGCTAGGATTTTAGCCCTACCTGCAGTGGAGGTATTTATAATTCATTTTGGGTTCTTGTTGCATAATTGTAATTGAGTATTTCATTTGTGAGCATTTACACCATGCAAAATAGTCTTACAAATCTTTAAATCCATGTAGTATAACTTAACCTATATACATGTATCAGTTATTATGATCTATTTGTTTAAAAGTATTGTAATTATGTTATTTCTAACCAATCATTTCGTATGGTATTGGGCACATTTTGTAATATATCCATTTAATATCCATATATCATTGTTTGCAATTCCCAGGTATTTAAAATGTCTCATTTTCAAATATACATAATTCATTATAGTTTGCATTTCTAGAATAGGTACACTCTCTTTAGAGTATGATGAAATGTAATTAAATTAATTTGCTTAGGTGTACGAGTTACATTTCCATTCTCGAGCTGCAATTCGAATTGCCGTATGTTTTGAGGAGATAACTGGCAAGATATAAACGAATTGGACTTCACCAACATCAGAAGATGGAATTGTATAAAGTGTTTCCTACAAGCATAGCCCTCTTTCTTCTCAAAGAACATTCCAAGAAAATTTATTACAAAGTGTGCCAGTGAAATCTTTTTTTCCCTTGAAGCTGCAAGTGCTGCTAGTCTTGATGATATTGTAAACAAATATATTCTTTCAGCAACATATATATCAAATAATAATTGCCTTGTTTGTAAAAACCTGCCTAACACGAACTGGAAGTCTGTTAATAATTAACCAATTTTCAATGTGAAAAATTACAAAGCTTTTGTTTTGAAATATGTAATAAAAGAACTGTGTGTAATAAATAATATACTCTGAATATCTAAAGTTTATTTAGAAAATTTTAAAACATTAAGGGCACTATCCAAATGAGGTTAAATACTTCTTTGGATATTTCGCATACTTCAGTTCTATGCAAGGTTAATATGTTTTAGACAATTTTTAATAAAATGTAGAAAATTTTGATTGGTAAATGAATCGTCTGAACAATAAATCCTGTATTAATATTATTGATAGTTATAGTAAAAATCTAATCCAATTTTACTGCATATACTGTCAAAATTCTGTCAACCGAAATAATACAGTATTGTTCAGCCCGTTTGTAGGTTTCAATGAGAATAGTTTGTGTGTGGACTTTGTGTAAATATGGTAATGATGTGCAGTAACCAGTCAGATAGCTATAAAAATTAAAAATCTTGCATTGCAACATAAACAGAAGAAATCTGTGCCAATTGTTAATTTTATTTTAAAGTTAAGAATATTCCCAATCCATAAGTAGATAGCCTAAAAATTTGGGGAAACAATTGAAATTGTTATATCTTCCACAAATTTTCATTTTATAAAAGATGTTTTTGTAAACAATGCAAATTCCATTCTCTAATTCTGGAACACTGAGCATATTTACTGGCATGTTTATACTATTTTCAAGGCAAATCGACTTACCCAACATAAAACTAGTGTAATTTATACCTTTTTGTTACATTTTCCTTTGTTTTCAAAGACTTACCCAAAATAGTCACTGAACTAATGATTGATATTGTATCAAAATTACAATTCTAGTTTTGACTAAAAAATGTTACCCAAAATTAAGGCTGGATGATATAAATCATGAATTAAATCAAATGAAATTTTTTTAAAAATCAAGGATTTAAGTTAATATTTATGAGTTGTAATAATTGAAACTCTTTGAATTTCAAATATTTAAAAAAGTTATACAGATTAAGGCTTAAATCATTTGCACAGTTTATGTAAAGAATATATTATATTTCTTATTGAACAAATTCGATAAAAAATACAATGTAATATACATAAAAATGAATAGGCTTATGAAATGAACCATAACAATTTGTAGTAATTTACTAATGGACTTGGATGGTATAATTTTATCAATTAACATTGTCTCAAGTCTATGTTTATTAGAATGGGTTCGTATACATTAATTGTAAGACAATATGTAAATATTTCCAATTTTTAAAGCCTTATTTTTCATTAATTAAATTAGAATCGTTTCAAAAATGAATAAAAACGTATTTACTAATCACTAAACATACTGAATTGAATTCTTCTGTTAGTTTTGTATAATGCTAATTTTCATCATACTAATATATTATAATTACACTACATATAAACACAACAACAACGATACACCATTTTATTTATGAACATTTCTATAAATTAATATTCACAAAACCAAAATTAGCATTGAGATTCATCATCTACAGCAGGATAAGAAGCATGTTTCTGTTTAAGCTGACAAGTATCACAAGAATAATATTAATATTCTAGAAGTTTCCTGCATTTCCATTTGTTTCCTTTATCACTCTGTCCAAATGGTTTGTGTTTCGGAGGAGCTTTTAGGGATCTTCTTTGCCTCTTAATAAGTTCCAGACCTATCTAAAGTCTATTCAATTTTCTTTAATGTTTTGTTGTCTTTTTCGTTGTTTCTCTGTGCATACAATTCATGAAGAAATCCAAAATAATGGTGTTCCAAGTTCAGGATGTAAGATAATTCAAGATTTTAATTTAAACAAATTGACATCAAATAATTGAACAGGTATCAACATTCCAACATTTAGAAAACTGGACCTTTCATTTTTGTTTCCTATTACTAATATGAATTTACGAAATACTGAGACATTTATACCATTTTCCCCCTTATTCATTTATGTATTCACGTTAAAAATTCATTATAAATTGTTATATGTAACCAAGAAAGTAAAAATGGTCTACAGATCCCCATTTATTGGGCAGATTGTAAATTTTCTACTATAAAAAATATCTCTTCTAAAGAAGTGAAGTTTTGTCCTACCAATTATATCAAAGCATGCATATTTGATTAATTTTATTAGTACGTACATTTTTATTAACTTTTATAATACTTCACACATAATTTATCTATTAAATATTGCCGATTTATGTTTTTAAAGCATCGTTCACGCATCTTGATTTTTGGGGAGCTTATGGAAGGGCTTCCTCCAAGGGGTTGAGCACCCTCTTACGGAACATTTACCCATCTTCTGCAAATAATGCAATTAATTCTTTGTAGTCATAAGAAAAGCAGATAATATTCATGGATAGTTATTACACGCACCACAACCAGCATTCGCACAACTTTGCTTTAAAAATGCGCGCCAAAACGTAATAGCTGCGCTATCTGCACCATGTCTGTGACTGAGGAAACAAACTTATTCCCCCGTCTTTTAACATTGAGTGAGCCGGCCCTGGTATTGCCAGTGGGAGGTCAACCCGCTTTCTTCTTTCACAAAGTTGGTATCTTTTGTTAAATTTTTTTCGTATGTGATTTGGCTGTGTAGCGATGGAAGAGATCAATATTTTAACGGAAAGCACTATTAAAGTAGAGCCGGTAAGCATTTTCTGCATATTTACTATCATGTGAGCACATGATTGTTGTAGTAATATTTAAGAAGTCCAATTATTTATGGTAATAAGTTACGAACAGGCAACACCAACATTAATGAATGAATCCAACATTGAGGCTAAAACACAGTTGTAATGTTTATTTAACTGCGGGATCTGTTAATAGCATGCATAATTCTATACGATTGTTTATGTGTTAACTCTAGGTCAAAGAAGAACCAGTAGAAGTGAAGGAAGATAATTCCTGGAATACCTTTGTGAGTGATATTAGCATTAGTCGCATAATCTCATCAGTGTATTGTGGGAAATGGAAGATAATTGATGATTTGATATGTTGGCAAGAAATACCAGCCACCGACTTTGAAGTGTACATTCTTTCAGCATCCTAGAGTGCTGCAAGATGTGTGCTAGTTTGTATGACACTTCATTGTTCATATATTCAGGTTGAATTCTTGGTTGTTGAGATAAAAAAAAAGAAAGAAAGATGTTACCATCACAGAAGCGATGTGACAAGTTTTGGTTTAAATGCACCATTAACCAAATTCCAAGGGGGAAACTTGACTTGACTTGATTTGAAATTTTAAGATCTTGAAGTAGAAGTTTTGCTTATTCTACTCAAAATTCAACTGCATTAATAGGTAATGAGTAGGTGGCAGATTTTGATGATCTAAAACATTACCACAAACAATCAATAAAGTGCTTTAAAAATACCCTAAAATCCAAGAAAAATTTTGTAGAAAGTTTATTCAAAACCACATATGATGAACAAATCTTGCTGTTGGATATATTATCTATGTAATTCAGGTGTCTTCCTTTTTGTTTGAGTGAACTAGGCTTGCAAACTTTTGGTTTGGACTCTTCTTTAAAATTATATCTCTGCCTTTCTTTATCGCAAAATCAGCTGTACTGACAATGTCACCTTAGATGTCACAGGAACCTTAGATTACATAATACTCGCATCAGCTGACATCTCAGTATATGAGCGAAGAAATTAAATAGGCTACTCAGGAATTCTGTGGTGAACATTTGTTGCTACTCCTAAATACTTTTGAAGCAAGTACAATTAAAATGATATCATTAACACTGTAGTCAGTGAAAAATGCACTGAAAATTATATAAAAATTTAAAAAATGACTTGTCAGTGTAAATCGATCAGAAATGGAAAAACAGACATAATAATGAGTTGTTTTGTCATAATATGTAATAAATTTCTATACTAGGCAGAATTTTCTAAAGTGAATAGAAAATAAATAACATTTCATTGTAATCTGCTCTCTAGAAATGGGTAATGACTCTCTAAATAGTACTCATACTCAGTTGTTATGTATGTTCTAACTGCAGCAAATGTTAATGGCATGCATGCTTCTAAATGATTGTTTTGTGTTACCTCTAGGTTAAAGAAGAACCTTTAGAAGTGAAGGAAGATAATTCCTGGAATGCCTTTGTGAGTAATATTAGCATTAGTGGTGTATTCTAATCACAGTATTTGGGTTAAAAGGAAAATAATTGGTAATTTGACTTGTTTGGATTTAGAAGTATCCCTCTTTATGAAGGTGCAGATTTTTTAGCATTGAGCTGTGCTTAGAGCTGTATGTGACAAGATTTGCATTTGAGTGCACAATGAACTATCTCTAAAGTGAAAGCTTCATTTAATTTGAAAATTTGAATTCAAATATGTATTGAATTGGATTGGATTTCTGTAATGATTTAATGTCTCCAGTGATTTGAGTGTTAATTTGAAATCTGCTTCTCAGAAGATACCTTCTGTCTCTATTATCCCCAATTTATTTTGAAGTTGAGCCTGTTTTACAGCTACGTTGCAATAGCACTTTCTAATACTATCTGAAATTCGATTAACTTTAAATCATTAGAATGTATTGTGAAAAACAGAGAAAAGAAATATGAGTTGAGTAAGCAAATCCTTTGTTAAATAGTTCAACAAATAATCAGTTCTTATCATTTAACATATTCACACGAACGTTTTACACAATTATGAAGTTAGGTGTTATAAAAACAAATTCAGTTTCATTTATCATTCATTTCACAAATTGGTCAATGAAGCTTTGACTAATGAGAGTCAAAATTGTTACTGGGGTTTGCTATGATTAATCAGCAGTGCATGTGTTTGTAGCTGCCCGTAGCAACATAATTGTCACAAAGCAAAGAAGTAATGTGAGTGGAGGAGAGCCTGGGTGGAATGAAGCAAGGTAAAATTCATTGCATTTTGCAGTGGAATTCATGGGGTTGAGGGCAGTGTATAGTAGGGCGTGGATAATGCTGTTAAAGAATTTGTTCCTGGCCTTGGCTAACAGACGATTGTAAATAAATACTTGTGCAATCCAGGGGACTGCTTTTAGTAGTAAGTAGCGGCTTGCTTCTGATATTTGTAGCTAATTTATATGTTTGTATGCAAATACAAAAAAGTACTATTTACAAAGGCGTATTTGAAGGGATGAAAAACAGGATTAAAGTTTTATGAACTATGTTGAAGATTTGTGACCTCTAAACCTAGATCGTTGCACACCTATATCTGAGTGAAAGTATCTGTTATCTATCCTTTTTCCTTAATATTCAAATGTTGTTGTTGAAGAAATAAGTTTGTGTTTCTCTGTAGCCTTATTGGATCATCTTAGTGCTAGTGCCTTTGTTTTCCTTGGTTTCAATGGGTTTATTTTCTTTTTAATATAAATCATATACAAATATCTGTTGGAGATTCACAATTTAAGGATCAGTTCTTGGATTTGTTTAGGGGTAAGGAACATCCTTGTCTAATTCTACCATAAATATTGTCTTTAACGTCTTTGACTTCAAAGCATAGATTCCCATTGAAAGTGATTTTGTAATTTTCCTATGTCATTCCAACCGGTATGTCTTGGAAACATGATTCTTTTTTGCATAGCTCGAGGTACTGACGATATTAACATCTTTTGCCAACTAGCAAGTTCACTGCAATACTGAGAGATGTCTGTTAGATATAAGCTTTGACACTTGTATTAGATATTTGTATTTTGAATTTTATGGGCAACCAATACTTTGAACAAATTTAATTAGTAAAATGCATTGTTACTCAGTAACATTGGATTTCTTTACGACTGCGGAATATATTTTTAGAGCAATGCTTATTTATATATATCAAGGCAACTTTCTGCAAATAATGAGAAAAATATAGTAATATCTCATTGAAGTTCATTGGGGTCTACAACGTTTGTGTCACCTACATTGCTTCTGTTCTGTAAGTACCCTCTCTTGCAAGAAAGAATTATTTAGTACAAATAAATATGGATTTTGAGTTTTATAATTATCTAGTTTTGCAGAAATCACAGCATATTTTTTATCATTATAAAATGACCCTAATGTACACCATTCTCTTTTGCAAGGGTTTATGTCATCACGCATTTTGGCTGGTACAAACTTTGATTTTTTCAAAATATATAGTTATTTTTTATATATATTTATATAGTCCTCAACTTTTTTGTTTTTGTTTTTGTTTTGTGGTATATATTTTCCTGATATTTGACCTTCAAATTTTTAGTCATTCTTTCTAAAATTGACAATAAATTATATTATTGATTTAAATCAATTAATTTTTTGGTGAATCATGTGCTTTAAATCATTAAATCCGTGGTCTAACCTTATGTATTATTGTTTCTATATTTCAATACAATGGAGGATTGTTTCCATGTCGATTGTGTATACATTGACTTAAGCAGGGCTTTTGATTTGGTGAACCTATCTATTCTACTTCATAAACTTCAACTCTTGGATTTTGTGAACCTTTCTATGAATGGTTGAAGCGATATCTGACTGGGCGTTTGCAATATGTTATGATTGGTATTGTTGTCTTGAAACCTGTTTGTTCCCACTTGGGATCTTTTTTTTTTTTTTTTTTATCAATGGCATTTTTCATCTATTTGATGCTGTGAAATTTCTAATGTTTGCTTATGATTTATTGATATTCTGTGTTATAAAATCATTAGATGCCAGAATTAAGTTGTAGAGTGTGTTCGATAAATTTGTTAAATAGTGTGAGGATAAAGATCCAAATTTAAATCCTGAGAAGTTTATGTCAATTTCATTTTGTAGGATATGAAAGTTGATTGATTGAGAGAATGCTATTATGTGTATTGTTATTGATAGTGTGTTTTTAATTCGGGACCTTGGTGTGATGCTTGACTTCAGAATGTCTTTTGAAGACCATTTGTAGTGTATGGTCAATATTACCTCTCAGATGTTGGGATTTATTATGCAAATTTGCTGTGAACTACACTCTATGCAGATACTGGAACATTTGTATTTGCTATTGACAATACCGATTCTAATATATGAGTCTTCTATTTGGTCAGGATGTTTAGCTAATGCTTTTTCTAGAATTGAAACCGTATAAGTACTTTAGAATTGCAGTTAAATGTTCAAATTATATAATTATTTAATTAATACTGAATAGTATCACGTGTACAGTCTATAAATAATATAAAATAAAATAACAAATATGTTAATTATTTAAAAAAGTCTATGATGCCCCCACCCACTCACAAATGATCGGCTGGATTCGCTCCTGACTTCATCTTATCCAACTTCCCTAACTGAATACTTGACAATGACACACAGTACTACCACAACTCGAATATATGCAAAAGCAAGACAAACAATTTCACAAACACAACACAACAACAAAAAAATCAATTAATTGAGCAATTCCAGAGCCATTAGTGGTTTTGGCACCATCTGTTAATAAGTGGCTGTAAGTAGATGACAATTTATTGAAGAGAGCGTGTTATATTTGTGGCCATGTCAGTTTTCCTGTATTCATTACGGCTTGAATTAATGGTTATTTTGGTAGGAATCCATGGAGGTCTTTTAGTATTAGTATCAGGATTTACCAAGAGAAATGTGAAGTCTTTTTCATCGAGTTATTGTTTTAATAATTGATATGCTGGTTTCAGGGTATTTTTTCCTTTTTTTGCAATTGAACTGAATATCTTGTGGAGAATATATTCTTATGTGTTGGGTTACAGGAAGAACACAAGATTTTGCCGACATAAGAGAAAGTTATTTTCCGTTTTGTAATGTGAAGGGGCTCTTTTTTGGCTTCAGCATGGATATTGAAACCAGACTTGTCCTAAACGCTCCACTTGCCATTCGCAATCTATTAGTATGGATTGGGTTGAGTCTGTTTAATGTATATTTTTTTGCTGATTGATCCATTATCTATTTTGAGACAAATGAGGGTTCTGTAAGTGGACAAGATTATATTTTTATCTGCACCCCATGAAGTTGAAGAAATATCTGTAATGATATTCATTTTGAGAAGGCATTCACTTTTTAATGCATTGGTGTGTGCCCGATTACATTGTTGTCAAATATCAGACACTTGATTTCCTTTTCACAGTTAGTTGCTTGAGAATTTATATTGAGTTTTAGATTTACATTGCTGTTTTTGCTCTTCCTGAAGATGATGCATTTTGACTTTGTGAGAATTGGAAACCAACTTTGTATTGAATCGAGGGAGCTTTGTAGTTGTTACTGAATTATTTATTTAGAGTTTTTTCCACTAACTAAAATGGTGATATCAAGCAAACATATTCAGAAACCAGTAAAAATATATAAGTTCAGTTATATCATTTATGGCAATAAGGAACAAGGTAACACTGAGGACGGAGCCTTGGGGTAAACCATTACATAGTTTGTGTTTGTCGGAAAGGGTGTTATTGAACTTGACTTGGAGAAATCTTTCACGAAGAAAGCTGGCGATGAAGATAAAATATATCTCTCTATTCCCTTATCATACGATAGTTGTAAGGCTCTGTCTTTCCACACCATGTCGTAGGCTTTTTCTATATTGAGGCTGATTAGTACTGGGTGTTAGTTTGTGTGAATGCATCACATATGTTGCTGTGGTCCATTGTTGATATATTTCTTCTAAATCCACTTTGGTAGGATGATAGTGTGTTGTTGTGTTCTAAATGCCATATTAGTCTTCTGTTGATTACCTTTTCCATTAGTTTGCAAAGGGTGGATGTTAATGATATTGGTCTATAGTTTACAGGATTGTTTATGTCTTTATTTGGTTTAGGAATTGGTAAAACTATTGCTTCTTTCCACTTGTTAGGAAATGACCCAGAGATTAGAAGTTCGTTGAATAGGATAGTTATATATTCTATCTATTCACTGATTGGTAATTCTTTCAAAAAAATATTTAAAATGCCATCTGTGTCTGGGCTGTACTTTCTCAAATTGGAAGTAATTTCTTGAACTTGGAGAGGATCATTTAGTATTGGATGGCAAGGGTATTTAGTTGGAATATTTCATGTATTGACGCCAGAATTTAGTAAGGTCTGAGCCAAGGTTTTTGCTATTTCTTTGGGAGATGTAAGAATTCTATTATTCACTGTTAAAAATTTAGTATGAATGGTAAATTTGTATATACCATTTATTGCTTTTGAA